AACCTTTCAATTATTTAATTTAATTAATCTTTAATTTGAGATTTTTTTTCTTTAACTACAACTTGTAACTAAAATATAATTAAATGATTAATATTCATAACTATATGTTTACTCCATTTTTATAATTAAGTACCATAGTCATTAGCCCTATAATAAAATGAATTTTAATATGAGTTCCAATATGTTATTATTTGAGAGAGGTTGTATGGTATTATAAACTCACATAACTTTTCCTAATCTAATTGTGTTTCATCTACTACCATTTGAGTGATTTTGAGGAAAAGTATATACACACTGGAATTTGTGTCAAATTGATAAATTCTATATTCCTATATACATATGATACTTTATCTTTGCTAACAAGAAGATGAGTATTGTTAAGCCACTAATAAACACTTAGGACAACGTTCTACGTGACTCTTGTAAAGGCCATTTTTTCTAACCTTTTCTCTTATGTTCAATTGTTTTGTGTGAAATTGTTGATAACATGAGTTTTGTGTGAATTCTAATGAGTTAATTTTGTTCCAACAAGATAATATTGATGACATTTTGATCTGGTGTTCTTTCAGAAGTCTTACTTATTCTAGATGTCTTATTTGTAAGTAGGACATGATTTATTAAAATTCACGTGTAACACTAAAACTAATTCCAAGTTATCAATTTCATTTTTAACCCTATTTTTATTTTTTTCCTTCTCCTTTCCTGTGTACCAGAATGATATTTTGACTCGTTTGCTTTTCCAATATAAAGTTTTCTAATAAAACTGACAGGTTCATAAAGAACTGCAAGATACAATGGCTCAGTTAGAGGCCATACGTCATGAAATTCGGTCCATTTCTTTCATCAATCCTGGTCCATTGACAACGAGGCTAGTGGACAATGTTGCTAGCCATACATCCTCTGGCAATGGTATCATATTTTGCTTGAGCTTTCAATGTTATACTGGATACTTTGGGCGACTTACCCATTTTTATGAGTTAATTTTGGTACATCATTTCTGGAATTAGTGGACAAGGAAACTTCAAAACCTCCCGAAGAGAACTCAGCAAGAGTTAAGAATGCTACAACAGCTGCCACGTCGAAGGTACATAATACTTGTGAATCTCTGTTACCACAATAATATCCTAACTCCATTATGCCTCTTTTAATGAATGATTAGAGTTTCATTAACATTTGATTACTGTATTGCCTTAAGGATCATAGTTCACCAACCTTAGATTTGTCTGATATACATAAACAAGCAACTGCATATACGAGATTGGCTGAATCCACATCCTTAGGTGCAAAGTCTACAGATGAAGTTCTTCGTGAACTAACCGATGAGTCTGGTCAGTTCATTGTCCTCCCTGTATCCGCTGAAAGTGCAGGATTGTTGCCAAATCGAAAAGGTGACTATTTCTAAGAGTCTGTTTCAGTATGTTTACTACTGATCATTATGCACTAATTATGCGGCAGTTATTTCCTTTAACCACTTATTGTGTCAAATGCCTTGGAGGGGTGTACATCAAGGGATCTATGGATCTAGAATTTATATTTACTGAATAAGGTTACTGATGGCTTGATGCACACCTATGTGCTTTATGAACTTACTGGTGAATTTTGTTTCAGATGACTTGAAGGGATCTGACATACTATTGGAGGCAGTACTGGAGGCTGATGTGGCACATAATGCAAAAGATTTTTTCTCACAGCCTCAAAACCAGAAAAAATGAATGAAAATGTAGCATTTTCTTCTTCTGCAGTATGCTTGATTATTTGGCAATAAGCATTTTTAAGAGAACCATGAGAGTTTGTTATAGCCAATGCTGTGCAAATTATTTAATCAACTAGTTGTGGGAAGGGATACATTTTTTAAAATATTGCGTGCAATTGTAGTCATCTTACTGATAGGTATCAAGCTTAGTTATATTTAAACTTTAGTCTCATGCTAACTTCAGTTTTGTGAAGGTAAGTTTACTGTTAAAAGAAATCATAATTACTGTACTGTCATTTCCGCATTTATCATATATTCCTTTAGTTACTTAAAATTGACCCAGACTCTTTTCTGACAGCTGGTTTGTTTAGTTTTTTAGACAATTAAACCTATGAACCTCATTCGGTTCAAAGATGACATTCCAGCATTTTCTAGAGAGATTTCGTCCAAAAGATGTGTTATTATGTCGAGCGTTTCCCAGGGTAAATTAAATTACTTCAGAATATTTAGTACAAATCGACAAGGTTCTTAGCTGGTTGGGTTTGACGTGTGGAACCCAGTGATGGTGGGAACCAGACAGGTTGGGGGAATATGTGGAACCAGATGGGGGCTGGGGTGGAACCAAAAGGGTGATGTATTTCATATCAATTACCTGATGTATCCCTAATAATCCTATACACATCAATTAGTGACATTTTGACTGACTTATTGGATGAATTCTGTGTATTACAAAAATTGAAGGATGAGGACAAGGGTATGGAAACTGAACAAGGAAACAAGGATTTTATGTTAAATAGTCCTTTCTTTCTCCCATCAATCCAACTGTGAGTGCGCCCAACGATGCTCTTGTTCTTTTTTCTTTGTTTTGACAGGCTTGTAACGTCTATCTTCAGCGTTCTTAACTGTGTTTCTCCACGACGTGTAAATATTTGTGCGATTAGAATCCACGCATTACAAATTTCTACAGTTCTGGATTTTTACTGTGTTTTTGTTAGGATTTTAGGCAGAGTATATTTTTGTTTTGCAATTTTGGCAGCATAAATTAATTTTGCCATTTCAGGTTGAATTGTATGAGTTTCTTTCTCAATAATTTATAAATTATTGTCTGCATCATACAGGTAAATTATTCCATTCTATGATGCATGTTACATTTCTCCCAAAAGAACTGATTTGATTTGTGACCCTACTCTAGTATCTGTTTGCATTTGTTTTCTGGATTTGATTCTTGAAATTGCGTTGAATTTTGTGGAAATTGAATCATGACCCACTATGAATGTGAAGTCTCCTATGCGTTTGTTAGGTTTTGAAATTGTTGTACAATTTATGAATGCTATCTGCATTTGATTTAATTTTGACTTTAAATTGTCCACTTGTTTGACTTTTTTCTCAGTTTTGAAATTGCTTTGTCATTAACCCTGTGGGTATTAGTCTTTCTTGGCCCATAATCTCCTCCCTCCCTTCAATCAAGCATTTATTTAGGCCTAATTTGTGATTGGCAAAATCTGGTCTTTTCCTCAATGATCAAATTAGATTTGTATTCACATTGATCTTTGTGAACCGCCCGTATGGACCCCGGGGTCTAGCAGGCCCTTGGATAAGCCTCCCCTCAGACGGTATGATGGATAATATAGATCATACAATCGATTGTTAGCAATCTTGCCCCGCCATATGCTTAGGGGAGTTTGCTAATAATGTTGTATATCAAATTTCTGAGCGCCGGTTTGAGTAAAAACGCAGAAGCTACTTTATCGAGTTTGGACAATTTCACTAGTCTGAATATAGATTGAAGATCAACAATACATTATTTTTCCGAGAATTTTTTACATTATTGTGCTCGACTCATCCACTCTAGTATATTAAACAAGCGATGAATAATTTTAGGGTAATTAGTACATAATGTTCATATCTTTCACTTTTATTGCAAAAAAAGTCCATCATTTTTTACCTTTAATTACACATTTGGTTGTGCAAATTATCATTTTCATTCAATTTCTCAATTAACAACTGTAAAATAATGAATATGCCATCATATTTAAATAAAAAATGGAAAATGATTCAAGTACATGGAATTTTTACCAGAATTGGATCAGATTTTTGAATTCCAACTCACATGTAGTGGATCCCATGTTTGAAGTATTGAAAAAAAAAAAAATTCCCTCCAAATGTTGTAAGATTTTTGAATTCCAACTCACATGTAGTGGATCCCATGTATGAAGTATTGAAAAAAAAAAAATTCCCTCCAAATGTTGTATGTAGTCTGTAGGTACAAGAATTTGGGATTTGGTTGCACTTTTTAATTTTTTTTTTAAAAAAATTTAAAATAAATTTAATTGGGACTCATTTGCAATTTTTTTTAAAAATAATTTATTGAGAGACTTGTTTGTACTTTTTTTAAAAAAAATGTGACTATGATTGTAATTAATTATTTAGTTTTTTTATTTAAATATGAGGGTATATTTGTCATCTCACTGTTTTTTATTAAGAAATTGGATGAAAATGAATAGAAATGATGGTTTGTGCTATCAAATTATAATTAAGGGAGAAAATGCCAAGAAAATAAAAGTTATGGATGTTTTTCGTAATAATAGTGAAATGTAGTGACATTATGTGTTAATTAACCTTTTAATAATTTATTTGGGACTCATTTGTTTTTTTCAAAAAAGTTGGAATTATATTTGCAATTAATTTTTTCTTTTTCATTTTGTTTTATTTAAAGCGAATAGTATTTTTGTCATTTTACAATTTTTAATTGAAAAAATGAATAAAAAGGACATTTTGCACAATGAAAGGTGAAAATAAGGGTGAAAATGTCAAAAAAATGGGAGGTGTGAATATTTTTCATAATAATATTGAAAGATGGGAACGTTATGTGCTAATTACCTAATAATTTTATGTATTGCAATTAATTGGTATGTATGCATTAAGAAATAGTTAAGGGGTAGATATATAAATTTCTGGAAATGCATGGACCTCATTTGAAAAGGGCCCCTGGCCCCCGCTTTTCCGCTTACTGTTCGCAATTCTTTCTCCTGTGTGAAGAAACTGCTACTTGCCCGAATCATCCCTCTCTAAAACATACAAGTATATATGTGTGTGTATGTATACACACATAACTCGTAAATCCTACTCCAGCTCTAAGCATTTGATCGCACTAGCAATCGCATAAGGTCTTGTACTTCGATAATTAGAGATAAATGTTCTTTATTTTATGAAATTCTGTCCTTAACTTGTTTGAGCTGGAACGTTTTGAAGCTAACTGAGTTGGTGATTAAGAATTTTAACAGAGTTGAGGAATTGAGTCACTGCCATGGCGAATAACCAAGGAGAGGCCACATCCGACGACTTCCTAGAGCAAATCCTTGGGTACCCGGCCTACACGGGTGGAGCCGAGACTAACATGGCGGGAAACGACGCAGCTGCTAGCTTGGGAGCCGCGCCGGCTCCGATGATGCTTCAGCTGAGATCAGGAGATTGCTCGGGTCACCTTCGAGGCATGGGCGTTGGACTCGGTGTTGGAATCGGCAGCGCGTATGGTGGAGGTGCGGGTGGTGGCGGCGTCGGCTTTCCGCTAGGGTTGAGCTTGGAGCAAGGGAAGGGAGGGTTTATGAAAATGGACGATGCCTCGGGGAGTGGAAAGAGGTTCCTTGACGACGTCGTTGATTCCCGAGCTGCCTCTTCTGTCAAAGCGGTAAAATTTGTGTGATTGTATTCGGATTCTAAATCTTAACATGTGAGTTATTCATCAAAAAGAATCTGAATTTGTTGAATTAATTCTTCAAATATTAGCAAAATATATCATCTGCCCTTCTTCTTTAGTAGTTGGAATAATGATAGTCTTGTCTTGACTCTTGATGCGGCCATAACTGCTATTTGGCGTAAAAATGTGAGAAGGAATAAATTTTTTGTTGCATTTTTTTTTGTAGCTGAGTGACCTTATCAAAAATTTATTTTCCACCCTTAACAGCCACAGGGGCTGCGTGGGCAGCCTATGCCTAGTATGGCTCCTGCAATGCCGCATTCACCTGCAATTCGCCCAAGGGTGCGGGCTAGACGAGGGCAAGCTACAGATCCACACAGCATAGCTGAGAGGGTACGGATAATTGTTTCTTGGAAAAGAACTTCTAAACTTCTTCTTTTCACATATATATGTAAGATATCGTGAATTGGCTTAATGATTCAGCAATCTCAATTACTAGAACTGTGCCAGATTTAGTGTCCTGTGGTGGTTTAGTAAATCCTAAATATCTGGATGCACTCATTTATATGGCTTTATAAAGGATAAAATGCTACAAAATGTTTGTTTACTGCACGATGATGATGATTGGATTTATTTATATAACATGATGCTGATGTTCTAGCTGTTCTCTGTTCGTGGAGGATATAGAGTTAATAGGAGAGCCTCCTCTAAGCATCATTGTTGCCGAAAAGTAATATTAGAGCTTGAGCTTTTTCTCAAAGACCTCTCTGAGCAGTTGCTTTATTCCCCAACCCCACCCAAACAAAGGAGAAAGAAGAAATTCAAAAATGATGATGATGACAGCAATAAATATCCATATAGCCGGCACAGGAAATTGGGATAAAAAACCAGCTAGTTTGAGTAAAAATTTCGAACTGTAATAGCTATTTGCCATCATAAGTGACAGGGTGTGAAATGATTCTGTTCCAAATAGATAATATGTTATTCTAGTTATGAGGCTTTGAAGCTTTCTTCTTATTGCATCAATCGAAATCTCAATCACTTTATTCTTTTTGTGGTTCTCTTATTACAGTTGCGCAGAGAAAGAATTGCAGAAAGAATAAGAGCATTGCAAGAGTTGGTTCCCAGTGTCAACAAGGTCAATTATTCACCTTTTCTTTCTTTTATTTTTTTGGGGAAACTGAGGTCAGTATATTTTCCTCCCATCATCTAATACATCATTCTGTATTCTAAAGTTCTGCTTTCCAAATGAAGAAAATAAGTGACATACTTAGCGGTGAAAAAAGGACTTATATCAACAATATGTTAATTCCTTTCTTGACATTGAGCTCCATGTTTGATCCCTGGCACGCCAGTTTCTATTTTCTAAAAGGTAGATTTTACCTTAAAAGTCTCTTTATTTGAGGAGAGGACAGTCCTGGACGCACATTTAAAGTTTCAGTCTAATAAAATGCCACGTAAGATTCCCATGTTTGATGTTCTTATTAAGTGAAACAGTGCCAACCAAATCAGTTTGGATTAATGCATCCATGGTGGATTTTCATAATTGCATTCTGTAAATCCAATCAAATAAAAGTCCTACTATAATGACACGAAATTATTAAATTAAGTGATTGCTGCATATATGTGCTGCTGTCTTTATTATGGAAAGAAAATAACACAGTTACCTTTTGCATAAATGCTTTCAGTGTGTTCATTATGATTTTTCCAAATACAAATAGCCTGTCTAGGTGTGTGGATATGTCTCAATATGTGTATCTAGTATGCACGTACACACTCGTACAGGTTACAATTAGGATCATGAGTATTCAGTTGTATTCTCTATTCAAATCCAAATGATTAATGCAGACTGATAGGGCAGCGATGCTTGATGAAATTGTGGATTATGTGAAGTTCCTGAGACTCCAGGTGAAGGTAAACTAACTTAAAATTCTTCTATAACCTTTTTTTTTTTTTTGCCTTGGTGACTGCATTCTTAAGATTCAAATATGAAGAGTCAGGGAGGACACTGCATTTATATTGGCACCATTGAATGCGGTACAGCGGTAGGAAGTTTACAAAATAAATAGCCTTGCTATATTTTTCTTAATCTTGTTATTATGGAGCATATTGTGAATTTACAATACAGTTCTGGAATTTTACCAACTAATATATATTAAATGGTGTCGCCACCAAAAACCTTTTATAATTTGCTTTTTAGCTCTCAGAGTTGTTGAGGTTCCATCCTTGGCCATGACCTAGATGCTTCCTGTCTAATGATGACAAAAACTAAAAATTCCTTCCCTTAGCTTAGATCCTGGATCCTGGAATCTCCCATATGTTTTTGCTTTGAGCAAGCAACATTGTTGCCGGATCCACTGTTTTTACATAAAAATTCTAAAATCAGACCAATGTGGTTGACATTACTATCTAAAACCATATTTAAAAATCTTGATTGCAGTCATAAGCACTGACTTAGACAAGATCTCTTTTGCTGAATTGGTATCACCCTCTTAATTAAAGTGTGCTTTTAAAAATGATCCTATAAATTGACCTTGTTTACCTTTCTACTTACTTGAATGATCAACCTTCCAGGTGTTGAGCATGAGTAGATTAGGAGGAGCTGGTGCAGTGGCACCGCTTGTTACTGAAATCCCGATAACTTCAGTAGAGGTAATTAAAAAAACTCTATTTTCCTTAAACAGTGCTCTCGATATAGTTCTATAATCTCTGGCCTTATTTCTTGCAGGTGGAAGGTGGTGAAAACGAAACAGCCCAGCCAGCCTGGGAGAAGTGGTCGAACGATGGTACAGAACGACAGGTCGCTAAGCTCATGGAAGAGAATGTCGGGGCCGCCTTGCAGTTTCTTCAATCCAAGGCACTCTGTATAATGCCCATCTCTCTCGCCTCTGTGATCTACCGCACGCAACCTCCCGACACCTCCCACTCTTGAAACCAGGGTCAAACCCCATTCGTAGACCTCCAAAAATAACACACATCCGTCAGCATCATCCTGCCTAACTTCCTCAAGTCAAATGTGCCAATTCAACCCTCACTATATTTGTTCTTCCACCCCCTTTCAGTTGAAATCTAAGTCAGATTCCACGATACCGCCTTTTTCAGCTTCATTCAAGGCAGAGTTTGATACTCAATGTTAAAAATAATGGAAAGGTGCCCTTTTGTCGTTGCTAGATTCAAGTAGAGAAGAAAATGTGAAATTGATATGATGTGCTTTTCTATATCAATAGTGGCACATTTGTCTAGTGGTGAATGATGAGAGCACTTTTGCAGTGGGAGATGGAGCTTTCATATAGGTAGTGGATTTAGGGACCCTTCAAAAGGGGATGAATGCGTACATATTTTAAATTTTTTCTATTGTGTTATCAGTGCAAGTGGACAAGATCGTTAGAGCTTAGAAAGGATAACAGGTTTTTTTTTTTTTTTTTCTAAAAAGTTGGATATATATTCTATCTGAAATCAATTGTAGTAAGTGGGTTGGCTGCCAGTAGTAATTTGACTTGTTTCTCTCTATTCTTCTGTACCATCATTGTAAATTTGTAATCAAATTATTGTGTAAAATAGAGAGAGCTGATGGTCCAAATATGGATCAGAAGAGTAGTTATCTGCGGAGTCGGGCATCTTTTGTCGAAACCAAGTCTTGTTAAACTGAAACTCATAAAATACTGAAACTTAGCGAGGAAAAAAAAACTATTAATTTTAACGATATATTTCATAGGATGTACAATTTTTCAATCACACATTTTATTATTTTTTATTAAAATCAACTGAAAAATTAATTTTAACTCTTGTGAAACAGGACTGAATGAGGCAACTGCGAGCTTGTAATTCAGTAGACGTTCTCATCTTTCAAAAATTTTCGTCATTATTGGAGACAAATGTTGAAAGTCAACCTTCTTGTCGATTTCACCCTGCAAGGGGACGGATTATTAACAAGTAATATAGTGTTGTAAAACAAACAAGATACTAGAATAGTTTTGATGTCAATTGTTGTGAAACAAATCACTGTATTGAAATGTTGAAGTTATATGACAAATAATAATGAAGTATATGATCAAACAAAAGAATAATAAAGACAAAAATATGATAGAAGAATTAAGAGATTTTATTGACTCAAAAATAATGGAAAAGAGAGAAAAATTACAATAGATCTTATAATTGTAGTAATTTATTTTCTCACACCATAAAATTGTATAGAAAATCCTAATATTTATAGGGAATAAGTAGGGGATGTCCAAACCCACCTAATATAGTTGTTGATGAAGTAGGAACTCATAAAATTGAGTCCAAAACAAATTTCAATTCCCAATGTACTTCCAAAATAGAATTTCAAAATGACATAGGATTCCAATAATATTCCAAATTTGAATTCTTCTTAATGTGCATTTCAATTAGAATTTTTCAATTATTTCAACAAAGAATTCGAGTCACACACAAATTTTAACAATTTCCACATTAACATGAATTCCACCAAGGAATGAACTGACTTCTTCAACAATAACCAAAAAATTAATTTCTCCAACCAAATACAAATATTCCACCTCTTTTAATGAATTCAAGCACCACTCTAAAGAATTACTTCAGATTCCAAAAACTCATAATGATTATATAATTTACCAAAATGGGCTGTAACATACCCCAAAATAAAATCAATATCAAATACTTTTGCAGAAGGCTCCTTGCTAGATTGTACACCTTCTACTCAACTTAAAGCATACTCAACAAAATCAACATCCACATACCATTTTCTATTGGGTCCGTCCCTATCAATTGAATACAATGACACTGCAGGTGATGGTGGCAAAGCGACATTATCCATATCTCATGAACTTCAGTGAACTGTATTCTTCAAATCCGACCATTTTTAGCTCCAAAGGTATTGTACCAAACTGAATGTCCACCACGGTCTCGAACTTGTGCTAATTGACTTTTCTAAATTCTGTACGACCCTACAAGATGTATAACCGAAACATTTTCTGTCCCTCCAATACAACTGGGCATCCTTACAAACCTTTAAAACTCCACATACACCAAAGAACTCATAAACCTCTTGAATCAAAGATAGATAACGAGATAAGATTTTTCTTCAAATCTGGAACATGTCGAACCCGACCAAATGTTCTAATTGTATCATCCCAAAACTTCAATCTGACCGTGTCAATTCTAACAACCTTACAAGATGCGTTGTTTCCCATAACCACGACATCTTTGGAAACAATTTCATATGTAACAAACAAGTCCTTAGTAGGACACATATGAAACACATATGCTGAANATTAATTTCTCCAACCAAATACAAATATTCCACCTCTTTTAATGAATTCAAGCACCACTCTAAAGAATTACTTCAGATTCCAAAAACTCATAATGATTATATAATTTACCAAAATGGGCTGTAACATACCCCAAAATAAAATCAATATCAAATACTTTTGCAGAAGGCTCCTTGCTAGATTGTACACCTTCTACTCAACTTAAAGCATACTCAACAAAATCAACATCCACATACCATTTTCTATTGGGTCCGTCCCTATCAATTGAATACAATGACACTGCAGGTGATGGTGGCAAAGCGACATTATCCATATCTCATGAACTTCAGTGAACTGTATTCTTCAAATCCGACCATTTTTAGCTCCAAAGGTATTGTACCAAACTGAATGTCCACCACGGTCTCGAACTTGTGCTAATTGACTTTTCTAAATTCTGTACGACCCTACAAGATGTATAACCGAAACATTTTCTGTCCCTCCAATACAACTGGGCATCCTTACAAACCTTTAAAACTCCACATACACCAAAGAACTCATAAACCTCTTGAATCAAAGATAGATAACGAGATAAGATTTTTCTTCAAATCTGGAACATGTCGAACCCGACCAAATGTTCTAATTGTATCATCCCAAAACTTCAATCTGACCGTGTCAATTCTAACAACCTTACAAGATGCGTTGTTTCCCATAACCACGACATCTTTGGAAACAATTTCATATGTAACAAACAAGTCCTTAGTAGGACACATATGAAACACATATGCTGAATCAAGAATCCAATCATCTTCCGGTTTAGACTCAATGTCAGAAATAGCTTAGAGTTCCCCATCACTTACAACGTTATCCACGAGGTCTGCTTCACCTGAAGTATATAAATATCTACTTGTAGCCATACTTTCTTCATTCTGCAATTCATAGCAATCCTTCTTTAAGTGCCCATTCTTCTTGCAATAGTTACAAATTTGATTACTTAACTTAGATTTCGATCTGCCCCTTCCAGAACTACCATGAGCAACCAGACCTTCTCCATCTCTAGCCTAAAAAACCAGATGATTCATCTTCTCTTTAATGAGAGTATAAACGTTGCTTGAGGTTCAACTTATTTGTCAGACTTTTAGTCTGCACAATTGCTCCAACCTGAACCATAAAACAGCTATTGAATTCTCCTTCAAAACGTCCTGAAGAATAGTATTTGATAGATGAAAATGAATGTGATAAACTGCCTTCTTATCCTTCCATAATTTATCATCTGCGATCAAAGTTGAGGGCATCTTGTCAATTTTCAGCAACGCATCCAAATCCAGTTGTGTGAGTACTGCACGTATCTTAACATGTCATAGCAAAAATCTAGGAAGTCATCAAGAATAAAAAATCTCGAACAAATCAAACATTGTGCTCTTGCGGAATTGCTGAACCTGAGGTTCTGATACCAATTGTTGTAAAATAAACAAGATACTAGAATATCTTCGATACCAATTGTTCTGAAACAAACCACCGGATTGAGATGTTAAAATTATATGGCAAATAATAATTAAGTTTATGATCAAGTAAAAAAATAATAAAGACAAGAAGATAAAAGATGAATTAAGAGATTTTATTGACTCAAGAATAATGGAGAAGATAGAAAAATTACAATAAATCTTATAATTCTAGTAATTTATGTTCTTACACCATAAAATTGTATAGAAGATCCTAGTATTTATAAGGAATAAGTAGAGGATGTCAAAACCCGCCTAGTAAAGTTGTTGATGAAGTAGGATACCATAAAATTAAATCCAAAACAAATTCCAACTCTCAATGGGCTTCTAAAGTAGAACTTTAACATGACATATGACTCCAATAATATTTCAAATTTGAATTCTTCTTGATGTGCACTTTAATTAGAATTCTTCAATTATTTCAACAAGGAATTCGAGTCATACCCAAATTCTAACATAAAGTGATGCAAGTGTGCTAAAGATGTAGCTTGTCTATATGTTTCGTATAGTGCACTGATCGATCTGCTAGAAATTACAATATATATATATAACAAGATTTTTATAAGAAAAACCTTAGAAAAAGGTTCGCTATTTTCACCATTTGATCCATCAAGAAATTTCCTCTTCAAGTTATGTATTGATTACAAGTGGGCCTGGTCCACTTAAGCTTTTGGGCTTTTTTAGTTTTGACCTTTCTTTTCCGCGGCCACTGCAATCAGTTTGAGAGGCTTTAAGTTGACCTTGGTTAGAAATTGGATTGGAAGTTGTTAGTTGTGATATAGTCGGTGGTTAACTTGTTGTAAACGGTTAGTTAAAATAGCTATGGTCTGTTTTGAAGGATTTTTGAAAGAATAATGTTATTCATCACCACTAGTGTTAAGCTCGAATCTAGGTGATAGTTGCGTAGCATTCAATGATACATTTATTTAAATGTAAATTCACATAATTCATTAAATGAATTTATAAAATGTAATTATCTAGATCGGTGCTCTAACACAATTAGTGTTAGATAATATTATTCTTTTTGAAAAGTCAAAGGCCATTTCTAATATTAAGAAATTTTCTTTGAATATATGTGAATAATTTTTTGAAAGAATTTTGTCTGACTAGAAGAACTTTTAGAATAAGTTGACTTAAGATAGCCTTTTGAAGAAACTCTTTTATAAAGAAGTAAAAGCAAAAGTGAAAACGAAAGTCCTACACATAATTAATCTATAAAATAGACAAGATTTTAGAGTGGACATAGCCATAGAGGAATCTTGATGGAAGATGTAGATAATTGATAGTGCTAGGATTGTTCACTTTCCTTGGTCAATAGTCTTCTAAGCATATGGCTAGTGTAGTTAATGTTATAATGTACAATATTTCAATTTTTTTTAAAAATATTATTGAACATTATCAAATATGTCATAAATTAGTAGATCTTAACTGAAAACTAGACAAAAGAGTGAAAAGTTCTACATTTATCTTTAATTATAATATATTTTGATGGTATATATAGGATCGGTTTACGAGGGTTTTTATTTTACTTTTACTTTCTTTAGAAGAGTTTTATTTGACTAGAATTATTTTTTATGAAGTTGCCTTAGGTAAGCTTGTTCTAAAATCTCTTTTAACCAGACAAAGAATTTTCACAAATTATTTAAACAGATTCAAAAGTTTCTTAATTTCAAAAAAAAGCTTTTGAGATCTCAAGAGCGTTGCCAAACGAACCCTTATTATCTGCAGAACAAATTTTGTTAGGACAAACACCAAGAAGCGTGAATTTCGTTGCACAAAATAGTAAGGAATTATTACAAAGATCAGAATGAAATGAGAATCTCGGCTTCCAAGTTTTTTAATTTCAAATTAAAAAATAAGTGCACAAAATATTCACTAAATCTTGTATTGTATCATGCTTACTTATACATGACAATTTTCCAAAAGATGTAAAAAAATGAATCTCTCCTATTTGTACAGGTAGTTCTACTAGCTCCTCTCTATGCAATTCTTGGTTGCTGGCCTGTTACAAATGCACGATCCGATTGCAAATCTATGACTATTCATGTCGTAACCTCGAATGGCACGACTCGATAACAGTACTCGACATTACAATGAATCGTGCAGTCGATACATATTGGCACTTGGAGAACCCAAGCTGAACATTTTGTATGCAGTTTGCTATATCTTTTACAGGCGTCAAAGTCCTTTAGCTTCATATCCTTTCATTATTCTAAGCCTTTTGCAAGAAGTAATAAACATATCCCATGGAACATCTCCCACTAACATCCAATCCCCATCTTTGTCTTCATAAGTTGGTGCATATTCAGATCCATTGTACCCTTCTCTCTCTGAGTACACACCTGAAATATATAATAAAAGGAAGTTAAAATTTCGTCCAATCCCAATTAATATTGTATTAAAATTTGTGGTTATGTCCTAAAATGTCAACTCTACTAAGAAAATCATAACAAATCCTTGTAAATTTGTCTATATTTTGGTATGAACTCACTCAATAAGGTGACTGGTTTGAAAAAATTCATGTACACATTTTTTAGTCTTAATCGAATCAAATTGTTCGTTTAAACTTAAAGAGATATTGGGACTTTGGGTTTCATGCTCAAATTCTTATATATTAGTCTATATTTCGATAATTAGCCAACGTGGATTTATCCCTTAACATACTTCGTACAGAAATAGTTCGAAAAACTCAAGATTCTTACCCATAGAGCATTTGAACATGTTCTCCAAGGCCATGAGTAGATCTGGGTAGTTCTTGTAAACCTTAACATCAATCTTCCTCAAATAAGGAGCTCCATCCATACTCACTTTCACATACATCCCTATCACATCGGAGTCGGAATTCCTCTGTACAACGACATCTTGTAAAAAGGCCAAAGATCTCACCGGCGGCCACCCTACAACTTGTGCCCTAAAATCATGAATCACAATCAAAATCCATACCCAAAAAGATCTATACATATACTTAATTATATATACACAATTGTAAACACACATACTTTGGAGCAGGTGAATTATCCATTTCATCTGAAGATCTCTTGTTATTACTCTTTAAAAAATCACGATCTGATGTCCCTGGTAACCCTAATCTCAATTCAGTTGCCTTCAGATTCATATCATTCTCATACGCCATTTTCAACAATTGTAGATCTCTGAAGCTTTTCCGGCGAGTTATTCCGTTTGTCAAGTGGTGGAGAATGGGATTAATGGAGAGGGAGTTTTATAGGAAGATTAAAGGCAGACAATATTTGGGTGATTTATTCTCTCTTGTGCATGAATTCAATGACATCAAAATCAACGGTCCCGCACGCGTTGATGAGTCATGAGCAATTTGTGGATGTGATGAAGACGCGATTACAGGCGCGTATGAATAGTGAGACAAGAAACTTTAAATACAGATAATATGTCGGATAAATGTATAACATATTTAAGGCTAATGTTTGTTTGAGGAGGGACAATTACAACCGCCTGATATTGAATGCTGGGATCTGGGAATGAACGGTGTAGATTTGATCTTTGCATAAGGTGGAGTGGGGCCACGTGTCAGTTTTTAGGAGGGTTAGATCTTATATTTGATTTTATGTAATTTTCTTTTTTTTTTTTAAATTCTTGTGGGCTTAATTGGGCCTATATGGTTCTCTTAACACATATGGACCGGTGCATTTCTATTTGATTATTACCCATTCCTATTTGTTGCTTAAGTGACACTCACTTATTGGTAGCATTAGGATGACTCGGATTGTGTGTTTGTTTAGAATCATTTGTGGCCCTTGGATCTAATCCACGGTTGGGATTAATTCTTGTCCTTTGATATTTCACTCGACTTTGACGTTTTGGTGGTCTCCCTTTTTTCTTTCTCCTCCTCGTTTTGGCTCACTACCCGTTCTCTCTGAAGACGTGACTCTTCTTCCTCCTTTGCTCTCACAAAAAAGGACCTTGGTAGCCTATTGTTAAGGGAATACCTGTGTGGTGCTTAGACCTAAAATAGGGTGGAGTTATTAGGTTTATTCTCGAGGGTTAGGTCAGATTTTCTTTGGGTTCTGGCTGCTTTGGTAGATTCATTCGAATCAATGACCTTAGCCAAGTTGTTGGAGACATTGGTTGGTTCTAAACTTTCTCTGGAGGGCGCTTTTGCATAGCATGGAAGCTGTTTCTGAGCCTATGCGTTTCAGCCAATTCGAAGGGAAGAAGGACCCGTGCAAGGCAAGAGGAAGGTAGCATTCTGGACGGTAAAAAGGGAAATGAAGCTTCAGATTTTTCCTTTTATGTTTTTTTGATCCTGTCCAGTTTTATATTCTGGTTTTTCGATTTCTATAGTTCATGGTGATTCCAGTATTTTTTTGTATAAGTATTGTATGCTGAAAATGTCATAGATTGCTGAATGTGTTAACTGTTGAATTCGGTTATTCCATATTGAACTCTCATTGACTGCATGAGTCTTATGAACTCTGTTATTGCTAATGAACTTGGTGTCTGCATTGCTGTGAAATTCCTAACATTTGGTATCAGAGCCTAGTTTAGGTCTAGGGTTTCGTCTTTATCCTTCACTGATTTGGGGTTTTTCGATTCAGTCAGTAATATATCTGAATATGCCTTCTGAGGTTTAAACAGAAACTATTACTGTTATTTGGCATCTTGTGTTTTAATTCGATA